GCAGCCCGTCCTCCGGGGCTGCTGCGTCCTGTCCTGTCCATCCCTTGGGAACAGCTGAGGTGGCTCCGCGGCAGCCTGTGTGTTCGGGACTGCCCGGCTCGGGGAAGGAGAGCAGAGCGGGTCCCAGTGCTCCCTTTCTGGGTTTAAAAGCAGGTTCCCCGGGGCCTGTAAAAGCTCTTTTGTATTTTATTTTTTTTTCCCTTCCCGCCACACCGAGTGTCTCACCCTGAATCATGCCAGGCCTGTTTCTATTTCCAGCAACAGCAAACGGCACCGGTTCTTAGAGCAGCGGAGCAGCAGCAGCGTTTTCCCCTCTGCCATTGTAAAAAGAGGAGAGGGACAACCGCCACCACGAGCAATGCTGCTTTTCCTCACGCTTTTTTTCCTAATACGGAATTCTTGCCCTTTCTCTGTTCAGAAACGCTCCTTCAGCTCCTGCCCAAGGCTTGTTGCTGCCGGAGGGGGCCGGTTTCTCTTTGCAGCCCTCGGCGTCGCCTTTCGGAGGACGCCGGCCGCAGAGCTGCTCCCTGCGCACCGCGATGCCGACAGATCCGGAGGACTGATCCGGCGCCGCCTTCCTCGGGCTGGCAGCCGGAGCGGGAATGCCGCCCGCTTCCATGGCTAACGATCCCGCTGCTTCAGCTGCCGCCTCGTTCAGTTTGGGGCCTGACATTTGGGATTGGTTTGTTAATTTGGAAGTGTGGTTTCCTATCAGCGGGGCTTGCTCTGCTGCAGGGGAGCATCTGAAGAAGTTAGAATGCGAAGACTTGCGCTCGCGGTGGCACATGTGCTGTGGTGACCCGGGCCAAACCCACCCGTGTATGCTCCTGCTCCACATTAGCAGCCTTAATCCCATTACATTTAATTCCCCCCGTGGCAGCTGCCTGCACCCTGTAGCTGTCACAGCAGTGCGGTGCAGGGGAGGCCTCTGAGCACAGTCTGTCCCCACAGAGCTGCAGACGTGACCCCAGAGCTACTGATTCCTCTGGCTTTTCTTGCATCTAACTTGTGTTTGGGAGCCCAGGAGCAGCCTGGCCTGGGCCTGGTTGCTCCGTGTTGCCTGTCTGATACGACCCGGTCAGCTGGGCAAAGAAATGAAATGCAATAGGCAAGGAAAGGGAGACGCGTAAAGAGCTGCAGGACAGGGAGGATTTGGACCCCCCACCCCTCAGGCCAATGTGTAGGTTGGTAGCCCTTGTCTTTAACCTGCTCTTGAACCTCCTAGTTCTACCTGGTCTCCTTGGGCTGCTGTTCTGTGACCAGAGCTGGCTGTGAAGGTGGCACCATCCTTTGTGACCGTCACCACTGAGATGCTCCTCAGTGCCAGGAAAACCTTTACATGAGTTTGAACCAACACAATGACTAGAAAATTATTATAGCTACTTGCAACTGCTTTCTGTAGCTGTCTGCTTCCTCCTGGAAAGTCGGTTTCAGCAGCCCCTCGAGTGTGTGTATATATTGACTTTATTGTATTTATTCTACCAACTTTTAAACCGAGCTTTGAGGACACGGGTGGTGGTCTGCCATCACGAGTGGTTTCTCATTGAGCAAAACATTCCTACAGCCTAACCCTCCCGTTAGTGAAAATGAGAACTTCAAGTTACACATCAAAACACACATTTTTCCATAGTGGCTTTCAGATGCAGGTCAGAAAAAACCTTTCCTCGAAGCAGCTGCGTCTTTGGAAGGCTCATCATCTTCACCAGCTATTTCAGGAAACCAAAACCAGAAGCATGTGCAACCACCCCGTCGAGCTCCTGCTCGTGGATGTCATTTCTCATGAAAACACGATTCCGTTTGGCCCACGCTAGAAGAGCCCGGGTTGTGAGCAGGCACCTGACGCTTCGGGTTGTGTTTGGGCAGCGTTTGTGGAGTTTGAAGGTTTGTGTTTGAGTTTTTCCAGGGTCAGGGTCAACACGTGGCACCAGATGGGGCGATGTCAGTGCTCACCAGCTCCCGGGGCCTTTCCTTGCCTCAGAAATGCACTGAGCCCTGGCAAATGTTCCCTCCTGCGGAGAAAGTTCTGCCAAATCTCAGAAATGGCCTTGGTCACGAGTGGATGCAGGAGGCCACGTGTCCTCTCTTCTCCAGGCCAAGGGCTCCAGGTGCTCTTGAACAGCTTGAAGAACTTCTTGGCTTTCAGTCCATGCCTCAGTCACGAGTGGATGCAGGAGGCCACGTGTCCTCTCTTCTCTGAAAGGTCTGAGGTGCTTTAAAACACATTTTGAAATGCAGAATTCCCTGTGATCCTTAGGAAATGGACGTGGTGGAAGAGGAAGGCGCCCAGGCAAGGTTCAAGGAACAACTGATGCAAACGTCAAGTTTTTTCCATTATATTTAGGCTTTGGCCATGAGGCATTTAGCACTGCTGGAGACATGGGCTGGCCCCGCAGTTTAGCCCCTTCTCTCTCCACCTCTCACTTCACATGGTCCTCAGGAGCTCCTTGTGGTGCCAGGTGGGGTTTTTAGGAAAGGGAAGCTCTGCTTTCCCGGGGGATGTCACTTGTCACCGTCTCTGAGCAGCAAAACTGTTCACGGGGCCGAGTGACGCTGCAGCCAGACTGGAGAGCTTCGACGTGACTCGATTGCGAGGACCGGGGAGCGTGGAACAAACCTGCGGAGGTCAGGGCAGGGCAGAGATGCTGCTAAAAGGAAAGGGACCTTTTACTGAGAACGCATAAAAATAACGAGAATTTCATTTCCTTGGTGGAAGAAAATAGCGCTGCTTGCAGCCCGTCTCCACCATGCAAAAACGGTGTCTTGGCAGCCTGTTGCGGTAGAAACCGTCGTCTTTCCTGGAAGCGGAGGGCAGAGCAGCTGCGCGCGGGGCTGAGGGAGCCGCTCAGGGCAGGGGCGTCTTCTCTTGCGAGGGAGAGCAGATGATTTTGAAGCGGCCGTCGTCGGGGCCGTGGGCCGCGCTGCAGGCGCCGCCGCGGTGGGAGCC